AGGAGCAGGTGAACAGCAATAAGCCAAGTGAGATAATGTCCTCCTTCAAGAAATTCCACTTGGATAGAAGTCCTGAGTGGATCAAAAAACTGTGGTGCATTACACGATGGAATACTACACAGCAGAAAGAAAGATAGAACTCCCGCATTTTATGACAGAATGGATGGAACTAGTGAGTATTCTGCTAAGTAAAATAAGCCAGGCAGTGAAAGACAAAGACCATATATTTTACCTAGAAGTGGACCCTAATCAACCAAACAAATAAGGGAGCAAAATATAACCAGAGACATTGAAATAAAGAAAAACAATTGACAGTGACAAGAGGAGATAGAGGAGGAGGATAACAGGGAAAAGAGGGGAAAGGATCATCAAGGAACATGTATAAAGGACCTATGGACAAGGATAATAGCAGGGAGGATTGAATGTAGGGTATGGGCAGGGTAGGAGAGAGCAATGGGGGGAAATGTGGACAACTGTAATTGAATGACAATTAAAAATCAAAGAATATAGAATAATAAATATTTACTTCAGGGTCCATATGATAAAATCCAAGGACCATCCTATCTCCCACCTCTGCCAAAAAAATTAATAATAATTGGCTTCATGACTAATCTATCTTGCTTAACCTGGCAAATTTTCAAACATTTTGCATAATTTGTAGGCTCATTGTTCTTTAGTGACACTCTTTTGTATATAAAGTGTTTACAAAGTCCAAATGAAGGAGACATGATGAGGCTAGGAAAAATATGGGTCCTATGTCCACAAGGACTGGCTTTGAATCTCAGCTCTATTATCACCAACTTTCCTGAGCTATTAGACCAAGAATTCCATTTCTTACATACCCAATTTCCTTCTTATGGTATGCAAATTAACATCATCTCCCAGGTCAGATTATTCAGGGATTAGGGGGAATTAATATAAAATGTCTGTCACCAGGTGATCAACAAGTGGTTGACCTTGATAGCCACCTTTGCTGTATGATAACCCATTTAACCATGTACAGGAAGATGTTTTCAATCTCTAGATGACAGAGTAATAAAAACAAACCTGCATTTGGGAATCATCTGAATATTCAGACCATGGGCACTGATAATAAACTTCTGAGTTGAGTAACAAAATGAGTTTATTTTAGCCATAAAAATATGTGAATCTTTTGTTGTAAGTAACTGCCTCAATTTGATTCTTCTTAAGAAACAACACAGAAATAATCTGATGGTTGACAGTCTTTGAGTAAACTAAGTGTGTGCTCAAATCTACACCCCCACACACACCAGTCACTATGGCCAGTGATCAATATCAGGAATATCAGGATTAGATCCCACATTAGGGTTCTAATAGATCCCCAATAGACCAAGATTAGGATTATTGATTTTTCCTGTGTCAACATGAATCTGGAGCACCAAAGCGCTAGCTCCCCTCTTCAAAGTTCCTTGGGGAAACTACAGAATCAGTTGTCTAAGAGATGCAGATTCAATACCAAGGATAAAAGGATAGGAGGAATACTGAATTTAGGTGGTCAAATGGAGAGAATAGACTAATAGAGGGTGGGATGGAGTGAAATCTTATCTGGTGCAAGGTAAGATCCTAAATGATCTTCTCTAACTACCTGATAGCTTTATAAACTTACTCAACTACCTGAGACAGTTTAGAAAGTTAGAGAGCCAGAGGCTGTCCTGGACATTATTGTTACTTTATTTGCATGCTTCATTGGAATTTCTCTATAATACTATTGTGAATTTGTGTGTCTGTGAAAGAGAGAGAAGATGTGTGTGAGTGTATACATAAGTATGTGTACATGAGTGTTTGAGTTTGCAAACTCAAACTCACATGTGAGTGTGTGTCTGCATACATTTTGGGGAGTACAGCATTTCTTTTTCATGAGTTTACTTTATGATGAAGGCCACAAGAAGTGTCAGTAACACAAATCTCAGAAGACATCCCAGTATTACAATTCTTACCATAAATGATGTTGCTAGAGAACCTAGCAAGTGTTTAGGTTGGCTGCATTTATTGTTTAGGGAAGATAGATTGTCAGACAAGGAACATGATAGATACTTCCACCTCTCTCACAATGATGGAGTCATATTGCTGCCTTGTCCTCACCTTGGCACAGAAAGAATATGAGTGAAGCTCCCACTGTGTGTGCTTTGTCCTCTGGAATTCCAGCACTGCTAATCAATGTTGGCTTGCCTCATTCTTTCCTTAGGGTCAGTTTGACTTTCTGCATCCAAAAAGGCCCAAATAGACATCTCTGCACATACGATCATGCTAATAACAGCTCATTGGCTACAATATTAGGGTCATTATCCCCCTCAAGTTCATGAGGTTCAAATTGCCACTTTAACATCCCTTGCTTCTGTTTTAATCAATTACTATCCTTCATACCAGCTGCTCTTAAACCTCAACGAAGTCTTACCTAAAAATGCAGCTTTGTGTCTCTGCTTCCTGAAGGCATTCAGACATGAAAGAATGAGGGTACTGAGGGAAGCCTGCCTGAGAGAGATTAGAGCAAGTTAGGGGAAATAATAGGCCCTCTGGCAAATATGTTAGATGTGATGAGTGAAACCAATTCTTGAGCAAATGATCCTGACATGAAGTTGGAACCAGTTCAATGTGTGTCTACAGTCTGGCTTATCTTGGTGACAGGGGGCTGGCCTGGGAGCCCAGGATCTATCTTCTTCTCTAGCAGCTCTGGCTGGACTATATAAAATTAATAGACCTTCATGTTTCCATTTCCAGCCTGTTAATGGTAAAATGAATGGAGCCCATCAGGAAGGATTTAGGTTAGTGCAAAACCAACATCCAAGCAGAAGAACCACAAAAGCCACAAAAAGACATACCGCAATTTAAGAGGCTGGAAGAATTTATCATGGTTCTTGTATGAAAACTTAGAGCCACAAGAAAACAAATCGCAAAGTCCCAATTCTTACTTATGTTGACAACCTTCTCTCTGCCCTCCATTGCACTGCCTCTGCTGACAGAGTTAGGATTTGGGTCTTCCAACTCCGATCAGGTGGGGAACTTGGAGCAAGTTGCTTAATCTCTCCAAACTTTCATTTTCTCTTTTAGAATGAGAAAAATAAAGTTACTGATTCCATAAAATCGATGTGGTTATTATGTCCTACCTATCTCCTGAGCCTTGCAATAGCTAGGGCTCAACCAATGGCTTTTGATAGTACCTTTATCCATAGGGCTGAATGGAAGTTGTAGGCATCTTATGATGTGATAGCTCAGCATCACCATGCCTGATAATCAGACTTTTCTGGAGTGCATGACTAGAGATGGTCATTTTTAAAACTAAATTGACATGTTATTAAACTGGATGAAATCAAACACTTGACAATATGGATATAATATTAGTTTCTTTTCAGACTTTGAAAACTGCTTCGGTTCTGTATGATTCTGGGAAAGCCTTAAGTTTCACCTTCAAAAGTTGGGCAGCCCTCAGAATGATTTATGAATAGGTTTCTGAAGCATAAAATCTCATTTTATTCAGTGCACTTGTCAAAAGCTTTTCTGATGTGTGTCTTGTGTAGGACTTAGTTACTGTAATCCCCTCGGACTCACATGCAGAAGGCATATTTTTGCTGAAACTTTCCCTTGATAGGTCTTGGGGTGATCATATTTGACTGATGTGTTGACACTCTTCCTTTAACTCCTGCACTATGAACTTTATATCATGTTTTACTTCCCTGTGTATTAATGCCTGGATCTTCATGTACAGAGGAAATGAAGCTGTGAAACTCAGTCCTGTCAAACGATTATGTTTCATATAAAAACTGACACTTTGTCTTTTGTGTGCTAACCCAGGCATGGTGAACAAACAGCATTTCATTTGCCTTTCCAAAAACGCATCCCATAGAATAGAAATTACATATGCTTTTAGCTGGCTTAAGCATAATATGGGATTATTACATGGAAAAGATAGATCTTCCAACATACTGTGAAGGCTTTAAAATTATGTACTATCATTATCATTAAGAAACAGGCCTTATCTCTCTCCCCCTTTTTAGGGTAAAACTCTATTTTAAAGATTCATAATTTTAAAAAATCACCTGCTCTGCACACAATATTCACTCTTCAGGTCTGACATATACCCAGTCATCTTCACAACATGTATTTGAAACATTTTGAATATGTTTTTTAACAGGATGTGAAAACTGGATTTTCTTTCTTTCTTTCTTTTTTAAAATTTTTATTTATTTATTTATTTATAATATATTTTATTAAAAAATGGATTTTAAACAAAGTGGATGCTGCTTAGAAGATTATTTGGAAAGAAATGGCTAAAGAATATATGTAGTATAAACATTTAAAGACAAAATTCAAATTCTCATCTTTGGGGTCATGGTAATTAATTTTTATTACAAATGCAACTTCTCTTCTAATTAAGAAATCCAGTAACTATTCTTCTTTGACTAACAGCCTCCTGAGCTGTTGGCAGAATTAATAAAGCTGTCAGGATTTTCTTGGAATGTTGCATATCTCTCTGTATGCAATTTAATTGTGAAGAACAAATATCCCTGTGGCACATTAGGAAGACTAAATACATCAGTATTTAGCACCTGTTTCTGTACTTGTTTATCAACTTTTCTAAAATTAAGGGAGAGCATCTTGATATAAAAATGAATAAAAGCTATGTAATTATCCAGAAAAATAACTTGCATAGTTTATACTCTCTGACAAGGAAAAATATATATTTTTCTAATATATGGTTTTGGAAATATACAATGTCCTGTGTATGACATTATATGCACAGCTTGGGAAAATTTGGGGAAATACTCCTGGAAGGCAAACTATTTTAGAAGAAAAAAATAGAAAACCCAGAAGCAGAAGGAGACATAATGCAATTCAGTTTTCCTCAGTTTAAAATAAGCTGTTCTAACTGGCAATTCAGGCAGGGCCTCTCTACAGAAGATTCTGAGATACGGTGTAGGGGATAGGGAGACTGAGTGAGAGAGCTTCTGGTTATGTCAAAATCAAGTTGTCTTTTTTGTTGTTGTTGTCTGAAGGTGATTGGCAGTGATGGATGGCTAAGTTAAGTCATGCTGCTAATTTACCTCCACAGGTTTGTTTAGCACATCAGGAATCTTTTCTCTTGATGGAAAGAAAAAAGACAATGAAATGTGCACCAAATTCAATTTTTCAAAGCAATGCTGTCACACAAATTAATATGATTGAGGAGAATGGCCTATCATTTATTAGGTGAACTTGGGGTCAAATGTCCACCTACCTCAGCTGAGTACTCCATCTTTGGATGAATAGATATTGGACAACACACAAATAAGTCGGAGTTCTGACTGCAAGAACTTTTTTTTTTTTGCTTTGAAACAGTCAAGGAGGATTATCTTTTATAAAGAGTAACAAGACATTTATAAGTGAGTTTAGTTTAACCAAGTGTTGAAGTTTTATTTATTTTTTGTTTTGTTTTATTTTTTTCTCAGTCTGAGGTAAAAGATTAATATTACTGACTGATTAGTATATGTTATCTGTCATCACAAATATTATAAAATTAACTTCAAGGAAAATATAGGTATTATTGTTTCATTTTGTACATGAAAGAATTGAGGTTCATAAATGTTAGTAAATTTACTTCAAGTCATGAGGCAGTATTCAGTCTAGTAACGGTGGGGCTTAGGGCAAAATTATAAATTGATATTTTATTGTACTACATTCTTGCATATGTAAAAGCTATAAATCACATCACCTATTAAATACATTGTGTTTTCTCCACCTTTGTTAACAAATATGCTTTCATAATGAAGTAGAAGTCTAGGTTTAAACTGGAACATGCACTACCCACAACACTCTCCCCTTCCAATACCTAGACCCATTTGACACATCACAAAGAGCAGAGCTCACATTTCCAAACTCTGTCCATCAGCTGCTGTTTGACCATGCATTGGCCCCAAGGTTGCCCACTCTAATCTTGTGGTCTGGATCATCTTCTCTGAAAAGGATGAGCCTTGGAGAGGTCTGCACAATCCCAGAAAGTGGGTTTAGGGTCATTTGGTCATGAAGTTTCAAGGTCAGGATACCTAAAATAATCATGGTCTAAACTGGAATGACAGGGGAGGAGCATAGGCTCCAAGGCAGCTCAGCAGGAGCCAGACCCTATGAAGGCTTCATCTGCAGAGAGAAACTCAAGAAAAGTAGGGCTGAAAAGAAGCCCTTACCATCCTAGTAGACAAAGATGCTACACTGTGGACATAATGATTGAAAGATTCAATGAATAGATGCAAACTAACACCATGTGACTCAATAGTTGATACTTTATTTTATCTGTCCTACCTTGGTGGTTTCTAGTGGTTTAAAATAAGTAAACAAACAAACAAACAAATAAATAAATGTGAATCAGGTTAACTTACTATTTAGGATTCCTTTTCATATGAACAAAATAAAAATTTTAAGAGTCAGGTGTCAGTGCAGAACCTTAAGTTCCCTTTTGCCTTTGAGCCATGAGACAAAAATCAGGACCTCCATGCCACTGAGTTAGGTATCTTTCTTTGTCTTTTTGAGTAGGGCCTTTGGAGTACCCAGGAACACTTATCTGCTGCTAGTACCTCTAATAAAATATCTGGGCTCCACAAAGTCATCAGCTGTGCTCCCAGGGAGCCACAAGGGCTCTGAACTTCTGTGTGTCTACTCCAAAGGGGAAAAAGAAGCCATGAGAAGCCCAGACCCAGGGTCCAGACTGGGAAACTGATAAAAAGAGGAAGACCTCTATACATTGACTCAAAAAATAACTGCAAGTTAAATAAAAGGGAGTCTGGGATACAAAAAGATAAAGCATTTGCACAATTGGTAACTGGTTGTTGGGTATCTATTCAAGTCATAACTTTATTCTACAGCATAAACTAGATCAAACAGTAACAAAATATATGTGTGTATATGTATACACGTATGTTTGTGTGTGTTAGGGGCCCTATTAATAAAATAAGGCAAACCATCCAGTTAGATTGAAAGAAAAATAAGGTAAAAACCTGAGTCACTTTGGAAAATGAAAGCATTTTTGCTCAGGTAGCCCACTTCCTCAAACCAAGTCTAGAGGTGTGAATGAGGATATAGCTGTGCTTGGGCAGAGTAAGAACAATAGTTCTTGCATTAGAATACAAATGTAAATAAGAGTCTCTAAATAATTTTTTTAAATTATGACCTGATGTAGCATTATAGGTCATAAGCATACTTCTTTTTGCAAGGCTGTGGTCAGGAGGAAATGAAAAAGGTAAAAACTCCCAGGTCAAGAACTGGCCAAGGTGAGGGTATGAGACACTCAGTCCAGTCTATCTATTCTCAGAGACAGTCTAGGGTCACATCTGCTTAACAAGCACAGTATTTAATTTATGCAAATTTTAAAGAAGGGATACTCTTGAGTATGACTTGGTAATTTTTATGTTTGTAAATTTTAAATTTGTAAAATGATATTGTCTTTTAAGACCAAGTCAAAATGTCTTTACTTCAAAATTTCCTAACCAATAAAAAAAAACTATGTCAAATATGCACTCTAAAAGTTATGTAAGTAGCCATATCAAGATAACTAGAGCAAAATATTAGACCTTCTTTTCTTCTACCTCAATTCTCCCACAATTAGTATAGGTATACTAAACACATTATATTTTCCCAGCTTTTGGTTCCACAGCTATGGTCATCAATCCCATGAAACAGAGTTTACTGATTGCTGAATAATGGCAAGGAATGGGTTATTTGTCCATAGAGCTGTTGATTCTCTTAGCCCTTGGAGATTCTGGGAAGTTCCTGGATGGATTATCTGTCCTAATGATGGAGCAACCTCCTTCAGCACTGTACCAGTATAATCACTGAATATTGTGATTTGGAAAAGGTGGGAATATACTGCCAGCTGAGTCTAAGAAAGATAACAAAATGCAAGTGTGATGACTAAATCAGAGAAAATCAATGGAGGAGGTAAGTTCTATATGTATATAGTTGAAAAGGCTCTGAATTTAAAATTAAAGAAGGAATATGATAGCTTCTGCAAGAAAGAGATGGAAGAGACAAAATTAGGAGGACGCCATTAGAAGATGATAAGGAAATAGTAGGATGACTGACATTCTGAAAGAGCATGTTTAGGCCATGAGACAACCGAGGCCAGCTCTGTGGTCCACAAGTTCTTGGGGTGGGGTGGGGTGGGGTAGATGGCCAGAGGAAGAAGACATCTCAGAGCAAAGATGTGATATGATAAAGGTTGGGTTTGGGAAAATGCATCTTTTAGGTGCAGGCAAGCAGGAATGATGGGGAGAGAAGTTGATGGAGTCCATGACATTTGAGAAAGATCTCTAAATCTATAATTTCTCAGTTTTCATCTGAAAGTTTTTTCTCAAAAAATGCAGCTTTAGTTTGCTCTTACTTTGAAAATTTGCTTTGTATATTTAAAAATAATTTTAGCTTGCAAAATTTATTTTCATTTTGCTTTTAGATTTTAATTGTGTGCCTGTGACATAACTCCACATTCAAGACTTATCTATAGATAGCTATCAAAAATTAAGTAGAGAACAAGTTTATTTCTAAGATATTTTTAGTTTTCTCAAGTTTTGATCTGGACTTTCAGTTTAATTTATTTTCTTTGGTTTAGATAGGATGAATTTATTTGGCTTAGAGGTAAAAATGTTCTCTAGGAAAAAGACTATACTTTTAAATGTGTTATGAAAATGAATTGCAATGATCTTTAATAGGAACTAACTGTAGTGTATACACCAGACAATGTGCTTTCAGAAAGATACTCTGAAGCCTGAAAACTTTTCACAAATCATCTGCTCAGCATCTCACCTCTGGAAAAGTAGTAAAAAATAATGGGGGAGACTTGCTAAATCATAAAATTTTAGAGTAAAATAATATAACTCTAGCTTATCATTGCACAGATGAAGAAGGGGTGGATGAATTAAATGTTAATACAACTTATTTGGCATTTATTATCAGTGTTTTGATGATTAAATTGCTTAGGCTCTTTGAGCCTCTTTCCTCATCTGTAAAAATTGATAATAGAATCTACCTTGCAGGAATGTTGGAGTGATTAAATGGCATAGCATATGTAAAATACCAGTTATGAAGTAAGTGTTCAATAAATCATCCCCATGTACTACTATTTTATTAATATTATTTTTATAAAAACAAATGTGGAACATGAAAACTAAGACATGTTTTGTTTGGAGAAGTAAAGAATTCAATGCATGAGTCTGCTAAAGATTATCTCTAAGCATATGATAAGTAAATGGGTAATCCTGTAGGTCATTTCCTCATGAATCTTTGTCCTTGAGCTGGTTCTTCAAAGCATGTTGTACAACATAGGAAAAGTGGTGATAGCCTTACTTCTGATAGATACTTCTGGCTATGTGGCCTTAACTAGGTCACTTAATTTTTTTCAGCTAAGAATGAAAAGATGCTCAATATCGCTAGCTATCAGAGAGATGCAAATTAAAACCACAATGAGATACCACTTTACACTGGTCAGAATGGCTATCATAAACAAAGCAACAAACAACAAATGTTGGAGAGGTTGTGGGAAAAAGGGGATCCTAGTTCACTGTTGGTGGGATTGCAGTCTGGTACAACCATTATGGAAAACAGTATGGAATTTTCTCAGAAAAATAAAAATCGACCTGCCTTTTGACCCAGCATTTCCACTGCTAGGATTATATCCTAAGAATCCTAAAACATCAATATCAAAGAACCTATGCACCACAATGTTCATAGCAGCACAATTTACAATAGCCAAGAGTTGGAAGCAACCTAGTTGCCCATCAGTAAATGAATGAATCAAAAAATTGTGGTACATATACACAATGGAATTCTATGCAGCAGAGAGAAAGAAGGAGCTACTACCCTTTGCAACAACATGGACGGAACTGGAAAGCATTATGCTGAGTGAAATAGGCCAGGTGCTGAAAGACAAATACCATATGATCTCACCTTTAACAGGAAGCTAAACAACAAAACAAACAAGCAAGCAGAAAAAAAAACAAAGACACTGAAATAGAGAACAAGGGGACAGTGACCAGAGGGGAGAGGGAAGGGAATTTAAGGGGAAAAAAGGGGAGGGATTTGGAGGAACAAATAGGAAGGACACAGGGATGAGAACTAAGGGGGGTGGAAATGGGAGGGAGGTGGGGAGCACGGG